CCATCCGGGTAAGTCTTACTTCCAGAACTTCATGCAATAGGTTAAAGGTTCAAATATGTTGTGGGGGTCAGAAATAGGCCATGCATGTGGGACTAAGTTGTAGTATGTGATGTTAAAGAACTAATATGGATAGTTCATGTTAAAATTGGTTGAGGGAGGAAGGAATTGCCATTTCTAAACCTTGTAGTCTACTTTTCACATGCTAGGTATTTGATGAAACTCCTAAGAGAGTTACACCATGGATAATCTTCCTAATTATTAATTGATTTCTGCTATCTCCTTATAGATTGTTATTTCTAGAGGTGTTGGTGTATTGTAGAAATTTAAGGAAAGCTCCAGTGTGGTATGTATGGCTAAAACTTCGTCTCTTAGAAATTGAGCTTCCATGGTGCCCATGTAAATATTGTAAGTTTGAAACATGATTGATACAGTACTTGTTATGTTAAGTGGATTATTATTGTGAAAATGTATGTGGTAGGTACTTCTTCATGTGTTTAATGTGTTATTCTTTGTATATGGAGGATGTGTGGAGAACATGGTCTATGTGCTAATGCTTAAATGTCATGCCAAGGTTACTTTGGGACTAATATGCCAAACTTGACGAATTCCTTTCTATGCTTTTGATTTAAATTGCCTTCGTATGCACCTATGATCTTAAGTGGCAAAGTAAATGTTGAAAATGGGAACAATGTGAAATGTGAATTATGGAATATGAATCATGTATTGAAATGCTTATACCTTAAATTTTAATTGAAGTTGCATTGTTGTGTCATCTACGTTAAGTCTTATCTATGCTTATGATTTAAACTGCTCTTGTGTGCACCTACTGTCCTAAGTGGCAAAGCTAATGTTGAATATGGGAACGATGTACAAATGTGGCCTAGTGCCACGGATAATGTGATAAGTTGTCGCCCCAAGTACCTATGAAATGATATATGTGAAACGAAGTGATTAATGCGATGGGAATAATGTCTTGGAAAGGCGGCCTAGCTGATCGGGCCGAGATCGGACTCCGCTCAAGATAGCGGTGGTATTGTGAATGAATTCCGGAAAAGAAGGAAAATTAGATTGTGATTGAAGTATATGTCTCAAATGAGGAGACCTAGCCGATCGGGTCGAGATTGGACTCCGCTCAAGATAGCGGTAGTATTTTGAACAAATGATGAATAGTGTGAAATGCCCCAAACTAAAAGCTATGGGAAAATGATGTGAAAGTTGTATGATTCTTTTATTTGATAATGTGGTGATCGTTTGAAGTTTTGAGTTATACTTGTGATTTCTTATTCTTGTATGAAAGTTCTTTCTAAGCAGATGGTATTTAGTTATACATACTAGTGTTATTCGATGGCACTAACATCCCTTTTTCCGGGGGCGCTACGTCTTTAAATGGATGTAGGTGTTTCTATAGCAGGCAGTGTTGGTCGCAGCTAGTGCCGCATCATCCTTTCAGCTGACTTGGTGAGCCCACTTCGTTTCGGGGTCCTGTTTCATCTGTTCATCATGTACTTTGTATTTGAGGTATAACCGGAGCCTTGTTACCGGCATTTTNCGCCATTTCCGTGTTACATTACTTGTTCTGTTGTGTTTAGAGGCTCCGTAGACAGGTTGTGAGTAGTGTCGATTATTGGAATTAAATTAGAAATATTGATGTTGGCAAAGACTTATAAAACTTGTAATATTTTGATAATTATGATTTAAGCTGCTAATGGAAATGAAATGGAAGTTGTTAATGAAATACTTACTAAGTATGATTAATGGAGTCCATCTCCTATTTATTTATGAATTAGCTTGGATAGAATGAAAGCTAACAGGCTTGCTCAGTCGGATTTACTCGATTGAGCGTCGGTCGCGCTCCTCGGATTTTGGGGCGTGACACAAAGCAATTGTTAGGAACACCATTTTGAATTTTTGTGAGAGGACTAAAAGATACTGTAGTTGAAACAATTCTATATGAAATAAAGGAAGTATTTATTTTAAAATAGATTACATGATTAAATTGTTTCCCCATCGACTTTCATTGTTCAGTAATTATTAAATGGTTGATACAGTTCCAACGGCATCACCAAAAAATTTTAGCTTATTAGACAAACGACAAAATTCGTTTTACCTATTTGTAGGTATGGCAAATGACTTGGAACCATTATAAGTTCTAAGAAGTGAAAATGCCTTGATGCTTGGAAGTGAATCCCTGACAACTGATTTTTTTTTATCTTATAATATGATAATTTATTCTCTATAGCATTCTGTGAATCGTATCTGACATATTATTTAATAATTGGATTTAGTTCTAAGCCACATCTTATAATAAGGGGACACAGTATTTCTTTTAGATTCTTTAGGTAAATCTATGCCCACTTTGTAAACTTAGTGTGAGTAATGAAGGTAAAATACTCTCTATGTAACTGTTGTGCCTATACGCTAGGAATGAAGGGGGTAAATATGAGTTATATTCACTAATTTAATGTAATTACTTTAAAAGCATGTCTAAGTATGTATCTATTTCCTTGTTGAGGTATTTGATAAAGATGTTAATGTTTATAAAATAGTGACACTTATTCTCCCATGCGTCATATTATTCTATCATCTATTCATGGGTCTTAAAAATACGTAAGTTGGTAAAGTCTATTTCATGATATTAATCAGAGGCATAATGGCTTTATGACGTACCGAGAGATTTAATTAATGTATTTCACATGCATTTCTTACACTTATACATGCACATTGACCCATGACCAGATGGCATTATTTACGCGTATAAATATGTGTATGTATATATATATATATATATATGTGTGTGTGTGTGTGTGTGTGTGTGTGTGCGCGCGCGCGTGTGTGTATGGGATATGGGAAAGGTTATGGCGTTATATACGCACCACCACCTGATCAGCTGGTATACGTTGATGAGTTTGCCCACACTGACCGAGATGATATGATGGGATACCCTCAGAGGCTTGATGATGTTATGAACACATGTACCTATGCACGACATGACATTCATACGTATATGCATGACACTATAAGTATTCCATGATTTACAGAATTATCCAAACTTACAGGTTGAGGCATTTACTCTATATTTCTTCCATGTCTTTTATGTACTTATTTATGTTTCTTACATACTCAGTACGTTATTCGTACTGACGTCCTTTTATTGGGGACACTGAATTCATGCCTGCAGGTATAGATAATCAGTTTGACGATCACTCATGGTAGACGAGATTGGCATTCAGCGAAGGATTGATAAGACGCCACCTCATTCAGAGTGTAGTCGAGTCTATGAGTCATCGTGTCAGAGTTTTGCTACAGATGGGTAGGCCGGTACCTTGTCCATTTGATGTCAAATAAGCTTAAAGGATTTGTAGATGGAGGTTCATTTTGTACAGTATGTCAGAGACCTTGACGGCCTATATGTCTTCATATTTTAAGAAAAATGGTTCAGTGATACATTGTTTTCCCCTTACAGTTGTACATTATAAGTTGTGGCCATGTGGGCCCATGATAGTTACAAAAGGAATGAGTTCAACCAACTCGACCTATATATGTTGTAGTTTTGGTTGAACGATCATGAGTTATAGAGTGGTTCGCTCGGGCCAGCTTGGCACAGGAAGCTAGCCACGCCTCCCAAGGTTCGAGGTATGACAAGTGGTATAAGAGTGGGTCGTGTCCTTGGAAGTCTACAAAGCCGTACCTAGTAGAGTCTCACTTATGAGTGTGTTGCGTGCCACATTTATAATTGAGAGGCTACAGGACATTTAGGAAATGTTACCGTTCTTTGTTTCCAGATCGTGCCATAGAGCTCAGTCGTAAGAAGTCAGTATGAAGTTGTCGCGAGATTTTGAATGCACCAGAGGTGCAGGTATCACAGCATAGCTTTAAAGCGTAGATGTAACTTCTACTTATGTGGAAGGAGGTTATGAAAGAAGCAGAAGATAAGATGCGAGATTGAAAGGTAAGTAAGGTGAAGGTGAAGGAGATACAAGATACTCAAGTACAAAAGGTTGTGAATAGTCCAGACATCAGATAAAAATTGGGTTTTAGTTTACTTTACAAAGGAGAGAAGAGTCGTATAGGCGCATTTACAAGGTCAGAGACAGTTACGAGATTACAAGTATTTGACCACAAGTCGTGGTGCGAGAAAGAGGCCTAAAGGGGGGAATGCCCTAGCCATTGGAATTATTCACAAAACAGTTGCCTAGATGGCAAGAAGAATAGTAAAGTATTCGTAAGAGCTATAAGTTATGATAATGATAAGTGCATCAGTCAACATTCGAGGATGAATATTACAAAGGGGGGAAGGATGTTACACCCCATGTTTCTGTATGTGAAAGTATGCCATAAGTAACGTGATGTAAGCTCAAAAATGATGAAATCCTTCTACAAGGCTAAGGAAGGTTTATCGAAGTATTAGGTAAGTTAGGATGAATGAGACTTTTTAATCATGATTTAAATGCGTTTAAAGTTATGATATGGCTATATATGATGTATGGATATGAAATATAAAGTTTGGGAAAAATCAAATTTAAGTTGCGAAAAAAGCAAAACCGGACTTAGGATTTGCCTTGCGATGAAGCATTTTGTGCAATATATCTTATGTGCTATATGAGATCTTTTTGGGATATATAATATACCAAAATGAACTCCTTGGAACCTAGTTTCAAATGGTCCAAACCATTTGTTCATAAGACATTGGAGTAGAGAAATATGGAGTTTTAAATAGGGGCACCAAGTCACGTTGCCGCACTTCTGAGAAATGGCAGGTTTATAGGCCAAGTTGCGATGCGGTTTTCTCCCAATATATTGGGAGTTACATGGATATTTAAATATGGAATTAAAGCACTATGTGACTAGTTTCCAACGCTGCAAATAGTTTATCAACACGATACTGGAATAGAGAGATACAAGTGTCCAAAATGACACTGCTCAAACTGCCAAGCAGGCAGCTTATCCACCTGCTTGGAGAATTGAGGCGGTAGGTTGTCTTGCTTACACGTTAGCAACAATTTGCAAGTTGTTGTCTGAATTTGGAGTCTCAAATATGAGGGGGCTTATCGGATCATCCTATTCACCTGTAACCAGTATAGGAACTTCATTATCCACTCAATCACACTTATATGTTCTCTTGAGAAGATCTTTAAAGCGAGCGAAAAGTCTAAAGCTGAAATGACTGACTGAATCTATGCATCTTGCCATGGCTAAATTTGACTTGACTCAAGTGAAAAGACCTTTGCTTTCATTTAGACAAAAAGCTTCCATGAAACTTGCAACATGCCCAATTAATATCTGCAAGGAACTGAGGTCGAGTTCTTATCTGATCAATGAATATGGTGATGAGGCTTCACTAATGATATCTGACGGGGCTTTTTGTACTCAGTGGATTAAGAACATAAAGAAGCCAAAAGGTTTCGTTATCTCTTCACAGGAGAATGAATGTAGGAGTAATATTGATGCTCTCTACTTCTGTGGGCAGCCATGTTCCATCCCTGGATCTGTGGTGTAGCTTTTAGGCTCTTCGTATTTGTTCTACGCTGCTTTTTGGGAGGTCAACGGCAGGTGATGTGATGATCTTTGTTCTCATGCTTGTCTTCCATACACTGAAAGAAGTTGTGTTGAGCTTGGTTGACTAATAAGGAAGAGATCATACAGGTATGTTAAGGCTATCCCTTCTTTCTTTTGGCATGATCCAAGCAACAATACATAAACATAATAATATTCCATAAGTGGTTCTACTCTTAGCAGTTAAGGATGTCTATGTATTCATTCCCGTAAAGATAATAATTGATTGACAGAGCAATTGTTAGGAACACTATTTTGAATTTTTGTGAGAGGACAAAAAGATACTATAGTTGAAATAATTCTATATGAAATAAAGGAAATTTATTTTAAAATAGATTACATGATAAATTGTTTCCCCATCGGCTTTCATTGTTTCGTAATTATCCAATGGTTGATACAGTTCCAACGGCATCACCAACAATTTTTAGCTTATTAGACAAACGACAAAATTTGTTTTACCTATTTCTAGGTATGGCAAATGACTTGGAACCATTGTAAGTTCTAAGAAGTAAAAATGCCTTGATGCTTGGATTTTGTTCTAAGACACATCTTGTAATAAGGGGACACAATATTTCTTTTAGATTCTTTTGGTAGATCTATGTCCACTTTGTAAACTTAGTGTGAGTAATGAAGGTAAAATACTCTCTTACTGTTGTGCCTATACGCTAGGAATGGAGGTAGTAAATATGAGTTATATTCACTAATTTAATGTAATTACTTTAAAAGCATGTCTATGTATGTATGTATCTAGTTCCCTATTGAGGTATTTGATAAAGATGTTAATATTTATAAAATAGTGACATTTATTCTCCCATGTGTCATACTATTCTATCATCTGTTCATGGGTCTGAAAAATACGTAAGTTGGTAAAGTTTATTTCATGATATTAATCAGAGGCATGATGGCCTTACGACGTGCCGAGAGATTTTGTTAACGTATTTCATATGCATTTCATACATTTATACATGCACATTGACCTATGACCAGATGGCGTTATATACGCGTATATATATATACATATATATATATATATATATATATATATAT